GAGAGGCGTATGAAACAGAGTAAACCGCTTTACAAACACGACGACTGGGTTCGACACAGAAGCTCTCTAAGGCATATTAGGCATTTGCTTTCCAGTTTCAGTTCTCGCGTTATATTGTCGTTGGTGCCGCCGGTAATCGCGTTTACGTCGGTAGCGGCGGTTGTAGCGAGTTACAACACGGCGGTTCTCTGGCATCTGTTGCCGGAGATTTTTCCGGTCCTTAGAGCTTCTTCTTTGCCGTACCAACTGACTGCACCGGCGTTGGCGCTTTTATTAGTTTTCAGAACAGAAGCTTCGTATTCGAGGTTTGAGGAAGGGAGGAAGGCTTGGAGTAAGGTGATCTCTGGGACAAATGACTTCGCTAGGCAAGTAATTGTTAGCGTGGAGAAGGATTCCTCTTTGAAGACGGCACTTTTGCAGTATATTATGGCGTTTCCAGTTGCTCTTAAGGTTTGTAATTGTAATTCTGCCTCAATGCATTCTTAACTTCAAAATTGCTATGAAATTGAAGCATAATCTTTCTTACATTCTTGAAGGATTTATAAACCTTTACTTTAGTTTATTTATAAATCTTTGAATGCAGTGCCATTTGATTTACGAATCTGATATAGGAAGAGACCTTCATGGCTTGCTTGATGATGAAGATCTAGCAATAGTTGTGAGTTCAAATCATCGCCCACACTGCATCATCCAGTTCATCTCTCAAAGCATGCGGCTACTAGATTTGGAGGAACCAAAGCGAACTCTACTGGTAATTTTCTATCTGAAAGTTTATAATATGATCTCAAAGTCAAACTGTAAAATTGTGTGCTTTAAAAATGCAGGAATCGAAAGTTTCTTGTTTCCATGAAGGTATTGGGGTTTGTGAACAAATCATGGGTATACCTATTCCTCTTTCGTATACCCGTTTGACCTCAAGATTTCTTGTGTTATGGCATCTTACTCTTCCCATTATACTTTGGGATGACTGTAACTGGATTGTGGTTCCTGCTACATTTGTCAGTGCAGCTTCTTTATTCTGCATCGAAGAGGTCTTACTCTCTCTCTCTCTCTCTCTCTCTCTCTCTCTCTCTCTCTCTCTCTCTCCCCACTGAGTGTGTGTGTATGGCTATGGATTCCAATGCCCTGTTTTTTTTTTTCTTTTTCTTCATGTAAGTATCTTAAAAGATACTGGAGAATAGGGCAAATTTGTAAAAGTTAGGGCCATAAAATCTGGCCAAATGATACTGGAAGAATGGTGAAATGACCATAATGCCCTTCCTTCAATTCGTCATATATTTCTTTTTGCCTAAATCAAACTTTTATTTATTTTTAAAAAATTTGCAGGTGGGAGTTCTGATTGAAGAGCCCTTCCAGATGCTTGCTCTAGATGAGCTTTGCAATCGAGTTTGCAACCATGTGCAGGAGGCAACGAAAAGTGAGAAAAAGATTAAAGAAACTCTTTTACTGAAAAAAGATGCTGATTCATCCAACAACTCTTCATTAAATGGCCACCACCCAATTCAACCAAATACTTCTTCCTCGAGAAAATAAAACAGACAAACTTGTACTGTGTTTGACATGCATTGGATTGAGACTCAGACTGAGACTGTGTTTATGTATTCGTCAGGCCATGAAAATAAGGCTAGAAAGCTTTACAGTCTTGTCATGTCATGTCCTGTGTAACAAATACAACTTTGAGTGTGGGAAACATTTTCAATTTTTTTTTCTACATGGAAAAAGTTGAAAGTGATGAAAGTGAAATGAGGTATAAATGAACACCACTCTAAATTGTATTAAGGCATTTTGTAGTTGTATATAAAAATCAGTCTCTATGATGGGAATCTATTGATTCGAGGATGATTAATTTTCTTGTTAAATTAGTGTTTTTCGTGGATGATTAATTGCTGAGGTGGATAAATTTTCAATTCTCAGTTTATAATTTCATATAGGGTTTTAACAGATGATTGAAAATTTCTTCCTATTCTAGCTCTATTCTTTGAAGAATCTTTAACGACTAAATAGCAACGTACTTTCATTGATTTATTTATAGTAACATCATACTTCAAAAAAATTACCCAATTATAACAATATCATCTAAATACAGAACAATTTTCACTAATTTAAAATATAATATCATAACGAAGTAGATTTTATATAATGTCTTGATAAGAAAAAAAAAAATCGATGTCGTAATAAAGAGAAATAAAAAATAGGATGCTATAACACACAAATAAACAAAGATACATTGCTATTTCGTTCATTTTAGTCCTTCCTATAACTACGGTGGTTGTTTCAAAAGCTAAAGTGAAGTATCTGTGGTTACAAATTTTGATCATTCATTTTTATTTTACACAACCTACTTTTCACCTCAAATTAAATTTTTACCTCTGTACCTAAAATTATGTAACACATAAGTTATCAACATCGATTTGTTCCCTAACTTTTAATAGATGGAAGAACACCAATTGATTCATCAGATAGGGCTAATAATAAGATATTAGTTGAAAAGGATCCAAGTCACATTGAAAAAAATAGAAAAGATCAAAAAGAAGATTTCTGATAATTCCTCAATGATGCCCTTAAAGCGAATGAAAGATTGTATGTCTAGAATCGATAGTTTACAACTCTTCAAGCAAGATGTTATCCACCCTGCATTTACAAGAAAACGGACAACATAAGGAGACAATTTTATGCAACTATGATGACATTTTTATTGTTGTACTTTCAGTTGATAGCTCTTAGTCGTATGATGTTTTTAGATTTAAAAAAAAAAAAAAAAAAAAGTTTAAAAAATTTACCATTGAACGGTCAAGAGATGAAATCGATACATGATTGGGCATTTGGCTTTGTCGTCGTCAACACGGAACAAAACGACCACGCCCGACCACGAATAACCGAGATGGTGTGCACGAAATTTTTTCGTGGCCACGTAGACCCGAAGGTGTTTGTGATCGGTATACACGATGGCCTTATTTGCTAACAACAGATACCATAGTGTAAGTTAACATATATACCACTGCTCTTTAAATTCCAATATTCTAAAATAATTTCGAATTAAGATAATAACAATATTTAAAAAAAAAAAAAAAAAAGGATAAATCTGGTCAATTTTCATAACCATTTTCAGAATTGCCAACAAAATTCACATATTCTTCAAAATAACTATAAATGTTGTATTGAAATGTGCATAATACTGCGAAATTCAATATTTATATGGTTCCCACCAAAAATATTTATTATATTTTTAAGGGGAATTTCACAAAAAATCCTTAAAGTTTGGCTCTATTAACGCAAAAATCATACCTGATTTATTTATTTATTTTGCAATTAAGTTCAAAAAACCGGTAATCATTTGCAAAATAACATTTTTTCCTAGTTAATGCCGGTTTTCAAAGCGTTTTTGAAATTTTAAGGATTTTTTTTAAAAATAAAATATGACTTTTTCATTGATAGAGTTAACATTTAAAGATTTCTCTGAAAATTTTTCTTTTTGTATATACAAAATTAATTTGAAGAAAACTCATATTTATTTTTATAAAAAAAAACTCAAAATAAAGATATCATTTATATCATTTTCACTAAAAAAACTCATTTTTATTTATTAAAAAAACCTAATAATTATAACATATATTATTTTTGGTAAATAGTATTAAAAATATTAAATTTACATCAAAATTCTAATTTAATACTGTACTTTATTTGTCTAAAAAAAACATAATTAAACATATATGAATATAAAATTTTCATTTAATGAAAAAATTATTATTTCATAAGAAGTTGGCTAAAAAGACATTGTTTTATTATATACACACTCTGATTAATTTTTGAAATGTTTTTATTGACTGAAATTGCATTGTTTTCCGAAAAAGCAGATCATAAATAATTAATTATTGATTGATTTTTATAAAATGGTCAGAAGTGTCTAAAGCCTAAATGGTTTCTTATTAGTAGAATCCTTAACTATAATCATTAAAAAAAATAATAAAATTGGGTTGCGTTTGACCTTTGAACCAAATGAATGTCTTTATATGTTGGATGAAATAGATGATGAAACAATCATTCTTCTTACACAGATGACAAATCATCATCAACTAACTTTTAACAACACATATTTTTATAGAACTACATGCTAAAGGAGCTTAGAAATAGGATTTAGAAAGTTCCTTCAATTGTAATTATATTTTTAATAGAAAAATAAATGAAGAGTTTGATAGCAAATGCGGATTTGTTCATGATTAATTTTTGTTTGAAGTACAATTAAAATTAGATATATATCTGTTTTGAGAAAATAATAAACAAGGCTGGATTCGTCCACGTGAGAATTAAATCATGGCTAGTTTCTTTATTATATTAAACCCCATGTCAACTCCATAAGCCATTCATGATCATTGCTGATTTATTTTATAATCAATTAAAAAATTTAACAAAATAAACTCAACTTTAATGGCTTGCACGTCTACCATAAAAACTCCATACGCAAGCAATTTCCTTTTAGCAAATTAACGTAAATATAATATATTTTAATTAATTTTTTATTTTATAAAACATATAAAAAACATAATGTTTTAAGTATGTTCCAGTTATTTCATAATAGGATTTTTTTTTCCCGTTAAATAGTCTCTTATTTAATTACAAGGATATACTTTTTTTTTTAATGTTAAGTATAACGATTATTATTTTTTATAACTAATTAAAACCCTTTTCTTTTAATTTTTATTATTAGAAAAACAATAACTTTTCATAAAAAAAAATTATCAACTATTTTGATTTAATGTGATATTTAATACTAATATTATATAGATTTTTCAAAACGGTATAATATAATATGAGAAATTATGAAACATAAATAAAACTGTAAGAAAATAAATTAATCAATAAAGATATATTGTTAAAAATCGAATAAGTATATATTTTATTATTTTTTACGTAATTTAGGCGCGGAGAATATGCTTTGCGAGTGTTTTGCCGGTGGGATATTATTTATTTTGAATTATATTAATTTATCAACAAAACTAGAAAAAAAATAATAATAAAATTGTGTTGCCTTTGACCTTTGAACACGATGAGAGTTTGACCTTTGAACCCAATGAGAGTCTTTATATGTTGGATGGAATCAGATGATGAAACAATCATTCTTCTACACAAATCATCATCAACTAACTTTTATCAACTGGGTTTCGCTTGTTTGATTCAGAAGTGCTGGGATTTTTTTATCAGACTATTGCAAATTCTTTAAAAACAAGTTTTGATCATGAGCATGGTGATATACTGATATGAGTCAGAGTTTTCTTCGAATAATTGAGCTTCTCTTTTTCCTCTCTCAGAAGACAAGAATTGAAGAATTAGCAACTGTGATCAGATGATTTCTTATGATTGTTAACCAAAAAGGTGAAAATCCCCTAAGGGTTTGCTCTTTGGTATTCATCTCCCCACATTCTGATTCATTCGAACGTTTTTGTATTATTGTATGCTCCATCTTCGTTCTCAAGAGTCCAAAAATGTCCAAACACTTATCGTGCACACCAACTGTTTGCTTTTATGCAGGACTGAACATCAAAAGATTTCGTGAAGAAAAGAGGTGTAAAAATGGAGAAATTTAACGTTTTAGAAGAGATCTCTGATCCTGGATTAGAATCATTACGAATTTCCTCAATGGATCATGATCAATCATCACCCACATTGAATTCAACACACAGTGGAAATTCAAATTCTTTTGCTTATTGTAGAACTAACTCAGAAACTACTTCAGTTTTTTCTGAACAATTAACAGATGATTTTACTAGCTCCTCATCAGATAGAAATTCTCCAGTATGCTGGCCAGCTACAGGAAGGTCCCCTTATCAACCAACCCTTTCAAGATTCGGTGGAATTAGGCATAATCACAGGCAAGATCTGAAACCTGCTGATTTTGGTGAGTTTTTATTGCAATTCAATTAGTTTATTCACAGAATTTTGATCAAAATTTATTTGATCAGAGCTTGAAATGATGAAAGAAAGATTTTCAAAGCTTTTGTTGGGGGAGGATATGTCGGGTAGTGGGAAAGGAGTTTCAACTGCAGTTACTATCTCTAATGCTATCACAAATCTTTATGGTATGCACATACGTACTCTTCTCTCTAAAAGAATTTTGTAAATTATATAAAAAAGTAAATGAATATTTGAATCTTTGTTGTAGTTTCTATGTTTGGTCAACACCTGAGGCTAGAACCATTGTATATGGATAAAAAGATGATGTGGAAAAGGGAAATGACATGCTTATTATCCGTATGTGATTACATTGTTGAACACATACCACCAATGCAACACTTACAAAATGGAGCATCCATGGAGGTAACACAAAAACTATAATGCAATTTTTCATACCACCCAATGGGTGTAAAAGACATAAATACCCTCCTCATTCTCATTGTCAAAAAGTAGCCCTAAATAAACTCTTTAGTTTGCACTTAGATGATGGATTTTTTTTTGTCAAATTACAAGGAGTGAAATTTATGCATTGTGTATTTTGAATTTTTTTGTGATTGGATTTGGTTTTAATTTTTGTCAGATGATGTTTAGCAGGCTGAGATCAGATATAGATATCAACCTTCCCGCCTTAATTAAGCTTGATGCATTGCTCATAGTAAGCACATCACATTCCTTAATCTTCATGAAAACACCTCTTTTTGTTTATCTATATTAACTAATGAATTCACAATAATCAATATGTATATTTCTTAAAGTACAAGTCCCTAATAAGAAATAATTTGAAAGTACAATGCTACAATAAGGAAAAAAAAAACATAAGTACAATGATATAATTTGAAAGTACAATGCTATAATTGTGAAAATTGAAGTAACAATGATACAATAAGGAAAAAATAGAAAGTACATTGCTATTTCTCTCATTTATCCCAACTAAATCCTCTGTATTTCTGATTTTAGGAAATATTAGAGAGTTTTCAAGAAACGGAATTTTGGTATGATGAACAAGGAAGCGTATCGGGAAAATCACTAAACGGATCATTCCGGAAGGTTCCTCAGCCTCACCGGAAAGAAGAAAAGTGGTGGTTGCCGGTGCCTTGTGTCCCCTCCGGTGGTCTCTCAGAGGTGGCTAAAAAGCATTTGAGACAGAAACGTGATTCGGCCAATCAAATACATAAAGCAGCAATGGCCATTAATAGCAACATACTTTCCGATATGGAAATCCCTCGTACGTATACTGCTTCACTTCCTAAGGTTTGACTTTGACTTTGACTTTCACCCTCTATTAATTTTCACTTTCACCCCCTATCAAAAATGGATTTTTTTAAAATATTTTTATAAGTATTATGATTTGTTTGTTTTTGTAGAGCGGAAGAGCAAGTGTAGGTGATACAATATACCGATACATGACTTCAACAACCAAATTCTCCCCAGACTACCTCCTCGATTTGCTCAACATAACCTCGGAACACGAAGCACTTGAAATAGCGGATTGTGTAGAGGCGGCTATGTTCATATGGAGACAAAAAGCATCCTTAAACCATCCAAAAACATCATGGGACGTAGTTAAGGAACACTTGGAGGGGGACAAAAATGTAGTGCTAGCCGAAAAAGCACATGTTTTGTTGTTTAGTTTGAAACAACGCTTCCCCGAACTTGCACAAACAACATTAGACACGAGCAAGATTCAATATAATAAGGTGAGTTTGTGAAATGTTTTTGATACTGAAAGGACATTTAGGTGTTGTTTCTTTTTGACAAAAGGGCAAAATGGTGGTTTTTCGAAAATGGGAAAATGTTAAGTTTGTGAAAAAGGTCGCTTTTCATTACTTGTGGACATTTAAGTTGTCATATGACTTATTTCCATACAAAAGGGCAAAATGGTCATTTTTCGTAAAGGTCGAGATCGTAAGTTTGTGAAAAGTACCTTGTCTAACACAAGTAGATGGTAGCTTTCTAATATACAAAAGCACGTTGTTATTTCTTGAATCTAACCCTAAAATAAAAAAGTACGTGGTTCAAAATATTTTCATAATCCATTCAAACTTGTTTCTTATGAACTTTAGGTTTTCTTTTTATCATTTTTATAAGAACAATGCTTTTAAAAAGTCACTTATGTGATGTTTTTTCTTAAACATTCTATTTAATATCTGGTGTACTTGTAGGATGTGGGACAAGCTATATTAGAAAGTTACTCAAGGGTTTTGGAAGGTTTAGCATTCAATATTGTTGGTTGGATTGAAGATGTATTATTTGTAGATAAATCCATGAGAAACAAAGAAGAGTGTTAGGTCTTGTTTTTGCAATTTGTAATATTTTGTATTTGTTTTGTCATTATATTTCACCATGAGAAATACCCTTTTTGGGGTTTATAACGATAGTTTGGTCTTTACTTGTAACAATAATTACAAACAAACATTATAGTATAAAAATTATCGAAGGTCATACAAATGCCACATTAGCAGATAATCCTTGAAGTTTCATCATACAATAATACTTAACCGGTGCCACCCCACCAACTTTGGTACACAAATCAACAACCGTAGGGGCATGTCCATAAAATGACCGCCACTTAGGCTGCCCGGAGTGGAGAGGTTTCCATGCGTGAGATGCTTACATGGACGGCTTCTCCACGCATGAACACCGCCCCCATTAATGGTGGGTTGGTTGTGGCATGAAGACGAGGACGAAAGAAGACGAAGAAAGGGCTTGGTTGGTGAATTTTTGACTGTTTGAAAGCATTTAATATATATATATATATATATATATATATATATATATATATGTTTTTTTATTTTTAATTGATTATGTGTGTGTATATATATACACACACACATTCATTGTACATATATTTTTCAAAACAAAACACACAAACTCTTTCAAATCAAACACACACATTCAACAAGAAATAGATGACGATTCTGATGACGAGTTAGTATTGCACATATTATTGTCTGCGGCACAAGACATGGTTCGTGAGAGAGGTGAAAGTTCACACGGCGAAAAAAAGCATAGAAAATTAATCAACCGGGATCGAGAGGCGGCAAATAAACTTTTGGTACGTGATTATTTCCCCTAAATAGTTTATATGATCTATCGAAATTTGAAGAACGTTTGCGTATTAGTAGAAATTTATTCTTACATATAGCTAGAAATTTGGAACGTAATTATGAGTTTTTCCAATTACAACGGGATGTTATAGGTAAACGTGGTTTTACTATAATACAAAAATATACGGCCGCTCTTAGACAATTGGGATATGACATAACTGCAGACACATCAAAAGAGTATTTGAAAATGTTTGACAGGACGGGTCGAGAATGTACATATCTTTTCTATGAGTATGTTATAGAGCTTTACTGTGACATATACTTGCGACATCCAACTTGCGACATATACTTGTTAGTATTGATTGTACACATTGGAGTGGGCAAATTGTCCCAATGTGTGGCGTAGTCAATTCACGCAAGGTGGTCATGGGGTCCCGACTGTTATATTAGAGGCGGTTGTTTCACATGGCCTATGGTTTTGGTATTCATTCTTTGGTATGTCGGGGTCCAACAATGACCTGAATGTGCTTCAAGTGTCTCCGTTATTTAACAATATTTTGCAGGGTAAAACACCAGACTTGTCATACGTTGTGAATGGAAATGAATATAAGTATAGTTATTACCTAGATTATAGGATATATCCAAAGTATACTACAATTGTCAAGTCATATTCATTTCCAGCCAATAAAAAACGAAAGTTGTTCAAGTTAGCACAGAAATCTACACAGAAGGATGGTGGAACAAGCACTTGGAATCCAAAAACAAAAGTGGCACATAATCAAACATCCGACACAAACATAGGATAGGAAAAAACTAACGATGGTGTTGATTGCTTGTATTATTTTACATAACATGATAATAGAAGAAGAGTGTAAGGCTATTTGTTCATATACCGGGAACGATATACTTAATCCACCTGCAGTAATACAAGTTTGCAACCCGGCATACTTCTCTAGGGTTTTGGAAATACAAAGTTGTGAAACACATCACAATCTACGTCACGATTTGACCGAGCACTTATGGGAAAGACAATTTCAAGGGGGAAATGACAATGAGGATGAGAGTGATGACGACGAGACAGATGCGGATGCGGATGGTGACGACGAGGCAGATGAGGATGGTGATGACGGCGAGTAGTATCTGTCTATGGTTTTATGTTTTAATTTTTTGTGTTTTTAAGTAGTGTAATGTTTTATTTGTTATGCTTTATGTTTATTTTAGTAATTTAAGTTTTAAATTTCTATGTATTTAATTAATGAAACGTGGTTTTATTTTTTTGTGTTTTCAAAAAAATTATTTATGTTATATATTATGTTTTTTATTTAATATAATATTACAAAAAAATATATTTATGTTATAAATTATGTTATTTATTTAATATAATGTTACAAAAAATAAAAAATGAATATTGTTAGTGGTAACCATTTCCAATGTCCAGTAGGTTGGTAGTGAAATTAACGTGACGCAGATATGACAACACTTTTTCGGTGGGTTGATTGTGACCACTTGCCACAGCCTTATCCTCAAGAACAATGTTTTAAAAACCGGTTTTTTAATTGAACCGGTCGAGTGACGTTTTCCAGTTCAACCGGTTTAACCTGTTCAATCGGATGGTCAAACTACTTCTATATTTTTATATATTTTTAATTATCCTGCATACATTGATTACAAAAACTTGTCATATTTTTAGTATTACAAACGTAAATAGAATGCAACATATAAAAACAATCATTATAGAAGTCAAAATCAAACAAAGACGACCAAAACAAACACAAAAATCCAAGAATGTCCGGTTCAACCCGGTCCATTCCGGTTCAATTCAGCCGGTTGAACCGGTTTTTTACCAAAACCGACCGGTTCAATCCGGTCAGAAAATCATTATAAAACCGGTCCAAATCGAACCGCCCTCACCTCCGGTTACCGGTTCGAACCGGTTTTTAAAACACTGCTCAAGAACAACCAGATCTTGAGGCCTACGAAACCACACCACCTTTTTAGGAACCACCAAATCATTCACCTCGACTTTTTTTCTAAACACCCCATGCCACCTCTCATACTTAAACACCCCACACTGGCTTTTCCAAAAATGCCCTCTACGCCACCTCGATTTTATTAATTTAAAAAAATTATAAATCATCAAAATCAATTATTTTATTTAAAAGAAAAACAAAAGGTGAAGAAAGGTTCCCGCACACTGGCTTTTGGTGAACGAAAAGAAAGTAAAGGAATGGTTACGTTACAAAGAAAAAGTGAGGGGAGTTTTCTACACATATACTCTGGTCTTATAAAACAACTTTTGCCACGAAAATGGTTTTGAAAGTCCCATAGAAACAAAATCTAAAAAAAGAAACTACTGATAAAAAATTTTAATTGTTGCGATAAAAAATTTATAGGATACAATGGAAAATTCATTGGTATATAAAATGTTGAATATTACGAAGTTATATTTAGTAGATTTTATTCCTTGTATTTATTTTTAGATAGGATTAGAATTGATTTGAGATTCCTTTAATCTAAGATCTGATTAGTGTAGCCGGCCCTAAACTTATTGTATATATTCCCTGTATGTTTTCATTTCAGTAAGAAAAAAAACACAGAGATAATTTTATCTCAAAACACTCTTTTAATTTCCGCATGGTATAAGAGCTTTCGTAGTTCTCTCGATCTTCATTGTTCAAATTTAAACTCAAATCTTCACGATGACGGGCACATCTTCAAACTCTGAATCCAACACAATCACGTCAGTACCAGGATTAACAGGAAATCCTGATACAACTCCTCCAACCAGTCATAAACTCAATGGTCAGAATTTTTTCCAATGGTCTCAATCAGTATTTATGTTTATCTGTGGTCGTGATAAAGATGGTCATCTTACCGGAGAAACTGTGGCTCCTGATTCTAAGGATCCAAAATTTAGGACCTGGAGAACCAATGATCATTTGGTTATGTCCTGGTTAATCAACTCTATGACAACAGAAGTGGGAGAAAACTTTCTTCTCTAAAAGACTGCTCAGGAGATCTGGGAGGCAGCCAAAGAAACCTACTCAAGCACTGAAAACTCCTCTGAACTATTCGAACTCGAGACTAAGTTGTATGATTTGCACCGAGGTGATCTTTCTGTCACTGAGTACTTTCATCTTCTATCCCGAATCTGGCTTCAACTAGATTTATTTGAGACCCATCCCTGGAAGTGTGTTGATGATGCTGTCAGTTATCGTTCTGTGGTCAATCAAAAAAGAACTATCAGATTCTTACTTGGCCTCAACAAAGATTTAGACGGTGTTCGCAGTCGGGGCATGGGAACCCATCCTCTACCTACACCCCGTGAAGCCTTCTCTACTGTCCGTCAAGAAGAAAGTCGTAAAAAACTTATGATGCCCCAGTCCAATAATCTTATCACAGAGGGATCTGCCCTCTTCACCAACACTTCTACTCATCATGCTAAATCCCAGAAATCTCAAGGGTGTCCATGGTGTGAACATTGTAAAGTCCCTGGTCATTGGAAACATGGTTGCTGGAAGCTCCATGGAAAGCCAGCAGACTGGAAACCCTCAAGTGCTCGTTTCAATAGAGAAAATAGAGCCAATCTTACTACTTGTCCCGATCCTTACAACAATGAGATCCAGACTATCAAAGATCAGTTGGAGGCATTGACAAAGATGATGCAAAACAACTCAACCTCTGATCCAAACACCACAGGTACTACTGAACAGTCTACCAACTTACTAGTTCATAAAGGTAAAATCATTTATGCTCTTCATACTTCTTATGGAAATGGCAATGCAACCTGGATACTTGATTTAGGGGCTACCAACCATATGACATCAGAGATGAGCCTTTTCACATTTCTTCAACCTCATCACCAGTCCCATGTTCGAATTGCTGATGGATCCTTTTCTCCTGTAAAAGGAATCGGATCTGTTACATTGTCAAATAATATCACTCTTCACTCGGTCCTTTTTGTACCAAAACTGGACTACAATTTACTTTCAATATGTCACAACCGGAAATTTTGTGTCTTGTAAACTATACACTCAAGCTAAAGTGAATCAAAAGCTTAAGAACATGTGTAACACCCATGATTGTAACAACAAAATTTCAATCAAATACACCATACGATCATTTCAAATGGTCAACAAGCAATTGGAAACCCTAGAAGTTCTTACTTAGGTCCACTTTAGACTAGAACTTCCTAATTGGGCCTAATAGACCAATAAACTTCCAATTTGACTATCTTGGGTTTAGAACTCTTAAATGGACTCTAATTGGACCCACATCTATTTGTTTCAACATTTTTGGGCTATGTTGGACCTAGAATGAAACGAATTAAAAGCCTTGATACATGAATAACCTAAACTAGTCCAATAAAAATATAAAAATCCTACCACATT